CCTAGCTCCCTGTTAACTTCCAAGCTTTCTGACGGAACTATATATATAAAAAAAACAGCTGTATTTAAGAGACGAATAAGCGACATCGAGACAGATCGGGTAAGAAGTGTAACTATTAAGAAGTGTGCTTTTACTGTATATATTATATATTTGTTTAAAATCGGTAAATAAAATGTATTTAGTAGTGCAAGCATGCTATTTTTGTTGAATTGGTCCTCACTGATTTTTTTTAAACTTTACTACAGTACATACAGTATTTATAATGACCATTTATCGTCTGATTTGAATATACATATTTATTTCTGTATAGTTCTTGATTGCTTTGTGTAGAATTTTACAGATTATATTGACGTCTAGTTTTATGTTTATTTACAAACGTATGAAATCAATGTTTTCTCTGCCAATACTGTACATACAGTACCTACAGTCACTTGGCAGCTGTGCCTTGCAAACTAAGGCTGTATGGATGGTGCTTGTTTCTCCAGCGTGACTCGGTTCAGCTCGTCAGGATGTAACACTTGCATGAGTTTTTAGACATTGAATTAACTTCAGTATCTAAATATTATCAGGTATTCATTTGTAGTTCCGACTTTTTACATACAACGGTTTCTTACTTGTAATGTTCGGCGTTTTAGGAAATCACACGAATTTATGTTACTAACAGCTTTATTTAAAACATTAACCTGTGCTATGCAGGAAGACGTAATTTCGATCATTTCACAGCCCAGATGTTTCCTCTAATTAAGACGTGGTCACTGACTTTACCTCCTAAACAAAAATAATATCGATACAAGACGTGGCCTTAAGTGTACAGTATGTAATCGACACGCGTTAATCTCTAGTACAGCGGATTTTAAATCTCCTTTACGCATTTCTAAAATAGCATACTCAAAAGGGAGGGACTTACAAGTTTTGCAGACTCCTACAGGTTTAGCTGTTTGTTTGTATCCTTGGGGGGAGATGCAGGTCCCTTCGCATGCATAATAAAACTTCCCTTGTGCTCACAGAAGACGCAATGTGTGGTTCATCTTCAAACCACAGAGGCACCTCCTGCAGAGCATTTAAAACACTGTCTAAACTTCAACCATCGACAGCCTGCCTGTAAGTAGAGGATTAAAAATAATTTTATAATGTCCATTATAATTTTCCCTCTGCTTTGTTATTTGTGTACGAATGGGTTAATCGCGTCTAATATAATTTTTTATCTAGATTAGTGATAATGTCGTTGATAAATTAATGGTCTATCGTTAATGTACTTTAACATGCGATTATTTTGGCAACTGACAGTTAAATTATTCCACCATCACGGATAAAGGATATGAAAGGATCTTATGCGCAAGTAATTTTGGAAAAAAGCAAAGCACGTTGTTGTTCATGGTAAGTTCAGCGATATACATTACTGTATATTGAAGTTAGACTGTCAAAAACTGTTTTTACTCAAAAAGTATTGAACTCTTTTGTTTTAAGTAGTTTCGTACAAATGATTGGTACTGTACATAAAACGAATTGAAGTAAAAACACCTGTGCTACCTCATGATGTTGAGCTCTGGTGAAGAGTGGTTTGATTGATCGATTGGATATTCATAGTTAAATAGAGGAATGTTATGTTGAATTCCGTGGAAGAAAAGACTACAAACTAATGAAATGAGCAATATCCAGTGGTAATAAAGAAGTTAATTTCACATTTAACCCAGGAAGTCAATCAAGCAAAAGTTCTCATTTACAGCAACAATGTGATGAGCACCTACTGTATTTATAAAGCAGAACATTGTGAGAGAAGAGCTTTCTTCAGGCATGTAACTGTAACAATAATTACCAGTAGTCTTCAGTAGTTAAAAGTTATACATGAGATCTGAACCCACAGCCTGGGGCAAACACCAGAACACTAACTACTGCTCCCTTAAGACTAATCAAAATCTCTTGTCCATTTATTTTCTGGGCTGTTTTAGACTTGTCAGCCTTCTACAAGGATATGAGTTTCTTATAGAGTTTACCTCTCTTTTCAGCAAAGTGACATACTGTACAGTATAACAACATATAGATGCAAATATTTAAAATTATGTAGCACTGAAAATAGAGCAGAAACCACTGAAAAAGCATGCCATGTTTTTGTTTCCAGCTGCTTATTGCAGTTGCTGTGAAATACATTCACTTTATTGAACACATCTCATATAACTTGTGTTTTTATTGCACTTAGGCATACATATCTGTTCATTTACATGTAGCTACCATTATGTACAGTTTAAATATTGTACCACTTTCACTTTTTTACATATTCTGTTTAGTTTTTCTGATATCATTTAATAAAAACATATTTCAAAAGCTTAAGAGACTGTCCTTCTTCAGTCTCTCATTGCAGTTGATTCACTCCCAGTCCTTTGTAGTGGTTGCTGGCTCCAGTGTGATTTGGAATGGTGCGTGTGATGTGCCAAGTCACTGACATAGCACTGATTTACAGAATAAAAAGAGCATTAAACTGAGCATAAAAGGCGCCCCAGTTCCACTTCAGCCGCTGATATTGTGGAGGCAGGAGGCTGAGACTGGATGTAATGGTGCGAGTTACTGAATTATCACAGCAATGTTCTTCAGGGGTTATTAGTCGATGATCATATTCTGCAGAGGTTAAAATGGAAAGCTGATTCAGCAAGCAAGTTACTTGAGGTTAATCCATACCAAAGAGTAAAAAGAAAGAATAAAGACTGCAACATTTCAGTTGTGCAGCCTTCTTCAGATACAGTAGGTATCACACTTTCCAAAGTGTGTATCATAGACTTCAAGGGTCCAAGTGGTTGTGTATCACTTTCTATATGTTAAGGGTATATTATTAAGGGTTATTATCGAAGAATCACCAGTTGTATGCCTCAATTTATCAGGTAAAATATTGTAGTCTCTCCCATGTTACCTAGGGAAAACTTTCTCATTAACTTTAACTTTTTAAATTAAAAAACTTTTTAAATTGAAATTAACTTTTGATTTAAAATTAAATTTGTATTAAAATTCTACTATGTACAGTTCCTATTGTATACATTGTATTACAAAAAAGACAATCAGGCATATGTTGTGTTTTTTTATATTTTGTCAAGAACCTTCTATCATGACTATCACTGACTATCCGTCAACATACTGACACATTTCTAAAAACATTATATTAAAATGAACTCCATCCAACTTTGATATCCCCAAAAAGGAGCTGCTTTAAGCTTTGTTAAGTTCAGGTCTTTCCCAGAGGGGGTTTTGACTTTTTCAGCTCCTCCAGGCTGAGTGTCTGCTCAAGTGCAAATGGCTGCTTGTGACCTTCAGTTTCACTCACGTCGTAAATCATCAGCTGGGGACTGTGATGGCTAATAAAATATTACTGTCCTTATGTTGCCTTACCCATTTTTTACCAAAATGTCCTGTGACTGTTCAGCTCTAACAAAGACATCAATACCAGAGGATGGAAATAGTCCTAAAGCAGAAAAAACTTCCATGTTTCAAAGATGGGAAGATGCGTTAAATATCCTGCTGGAGAGAATAGATAATAAGCTCACCCAGTGAGACTAAGCTTCACCCAGCCTTGGTCTTCTTGCATCCTCTTCCTGACAGGGCAACAACCATCCCATTTGCCTTTACCATTTTGATGGATACATAAGTTGAAAGTAGGATGTTCGTACTATGGACTTTTACAGTATAGTCATCACCAGAGTGGAGGTCAATAACCTATTGTCTTGAGTTCTTCAGCCAGTTTCTGACTTTCCACATGAAGGCATCTGTGTGCAGCTTCCTTTAACTCTGGGTGACAATCAGCATGATTTTCTGAAGTTTCTAGAAAACTCCAGAGAGTTTTTACAGCATTCTTTTAATATAACAACAGCCTATAATTTAAGGGTATGAATATAGTTGGAGGCAAGTGAGTATACACACAGTATGCTACTGTACATGTATAACAGAAACATGGAACATGTGTCTCCAACAAGTGTTCTCATCCATTTTCCTCCTGTTGCCATGTTACAGGATATCTTCTGAAATAATATTTACCCCTCATTTTAATGCCTTAACTAACTCAGTTATTTTTATTTCTAATATTATAAACTGCTCTGAGTTACCATTGCCATTGGGCTGATAGATTCCCCATGCCTGGCTCCTCCTGCCCCTGAGAGTCACAAGACAGAAAACAGCTTGTGCACTTGCAGCTTCACCGCTAGAGTACATCTATGTACAGTAGTATTAACGACATTATTTCAACTCATTTTTCATTATTGTTATATACTAATTTGTAACAGAGTTTAGAAAATAACCGTGACTAATGCATTATGCTTTTGCTCAATAAGAATGAAGGTACTTTAAAAAGATTTTCAAAATGTCATCTTTGTCAATGTACGTAAGTGTTTAAAATATCACAAAGCTCTGTGTGATTACACAAATGATCTACTCTGTACACAGTTTCCTGTATGGTGATATTTTCCTTTAGGAGGTGCTCACCATTGTGTGGCCGTGAACACATCATGGCGGCATTCAAAGGAATTTGGACCCAGTCGTTCTGGAGAGCTGTTTCTGGGGAGTTCTTGGCGACACTGATTTTTGTCCTCCTCTGTCTTGGGTCCACGATAAACTGGAGCGCAAAAGAGAAGCAAATACCAGCAGATCTGGTGCTCATCTCCCTGTGTTTCGGACTCAGCATTGCAACCATGGTGCAATGCTTCGGACACATCAGCGGTGCGCACATTAATCCGGCTGTGACTGCTGCCATGGTCTGCACCAAGAAGCTCAGCCTAGCCAAGGCTGTCTTTTATGTGATAGCCCAGTGCCTTGGAGCCATTGTCGGGGCTGGAATCCTCTACCTTGTGACCCCTAGTGATGTTAGAGGCACCCTGGGTGTAACTGCGGTAAGTTTTAACAATTTCGCGGATGAGAGATCTTTATTTTCTTCAGCAGTGGGCTGTACGTGTGGGCCAGTGAAAGTGGGAAACAGTGGCAGGTTAGGAACACCAGGAAGCTCCTAAATGAGAGAAGGCCATTCATTAGAAAGCCAGTAGGTCACTGATCTGAGGATGTCATGCAGTTTCCTGAAAGAAGACAAGTCCATCAGCTTCACAAACACACACGGCTGGGAAGCATGTTCCAGATCCCCAGAAGAATAAAAGTGATGTTAGCTTCCAACTAAGTTTGCGTTTATTTCAGTGAGTAAAAAAGGCAGATGTGGGCTTGTCTGAGAATGATGTCCTGCACAACAAGAAGGGACCAAGGCTGTTTCAGAGAAGGAAATCTGCCGTATCTGGTAGTGAGAGTGGGAGCAGGGAAACGTTGGAGTAAAAACATACAGTATTATCTCTTCCCCTTTTGGTATTTCAGTTGGCAAGACCCATTGTTTCAATAAATCTTTTGTCTTATCATTTGTCTATGACAAAGTCAGAACAAACTTAAAAGACTTTAGATATGTGTTTAAATGCTCTTGTCTTTCATATGACACAGGGGGACAAAATAAACCAGTAAAAAGATTTTTTCTTTTGATTCAGCTGAAAAAAGCTATAAACTTAACAGTTTACACTTAACTTATGTTCAGACTGGAAAGGGTTGTATCCTGTTCTCACTAGCTCTGTGTTTTTAACAGGTCAGTCCCAAGATCTCTGTTGGCCATGCACTGGTGGTTGAGCTGTTCATTACCTTTGAGCTGGTTTTCACTGTCTTTGCCACTTGCGATTCCAAACGCAGGGACCTCAAGGGCTCGGCAGCTTTGGCAATAGGCTTCGCCGTCACAATCGGACACCTTTTTGCTGTAAGTTTCAGGAAATTGATTTCAAGAATAGAATCTTTTTGTTTTGTTCTGTTACACTTTCCACTTTGTACTTCCATTCCACTTATTCCGCCCTTGCATCTCTTTTATTCTTGGCCCTACAGAAAGGCAGAAGGAAACGAAGGGAGCAGTTCAATGTGGCGCATATACAAATGGAATCATGGGGACCACATTCCCATGATCAGCAACAGTGGTCTTGGAACAACGTCTTGCAGAGTTGCTCCATGCCTTTCTGTGCTGCAGACCAAAAGTGATATACACCATGCTCAGAATGATGTAGCTCCCTCTGGTGTGTACTGTTGTTATGCCTGGGAACACATTCCCAATGGTGCCATTTGCATATGCACCTAAACTCACTGCCCCATGTTGCACAGTTGTCATGATACAGTTGCTAGATTGCCAAATGTGCTCACCTAGTAGTTTTCTAAGCAGGCCTGTAGGTTATTAGTCTTGTTTTTACATGCCAAGCATCTGTTCAAGATATAGTGAGCAGAAGCACTGCAAAGCTGTTGCTTTTGGCCAGATCCTGTGACAAAACTAACAAGGAGGGAGAATATGTAAACCTAAAACTACATGTGGTGGAAATATCTCTTATAATTTTGTTAAACATTAATTCAAGCCAGATGTAAAATTTAAAGTGAATTAAATGTCGTATTATATATGGAGTGAATAGCTGTTTGTGTAACACCAGAGAAATCTATAGAGGGGTAGTAAAGAAACATAAATTTGTTAAGGTAAACAAAGTAGAACAGGTGTCATTGTCGAAGAGTATAATTTAAGGATCATTACTTATCTCAATAAATTAATTTTTCAGTGGTGTACAAAGATTTTGTCTTTGTTGACTGAAATATGAGACTACTGAAGAGTCATTATTAAATAAGTAGTACTATATGTACAGTGTCTAGAAAGGTTTGCGACCTCCCAATATGAATATGGGAATTAGAGTTTCTTACTTTGACGCCTTTGTACAATCGAAACCAGACTTTTCTTAAACAAGAGTTTATATTTACCCCTTCGGTGTTTTTAAGATAGAATGGTTTATGAACTAGAAAAAGCTGAATAATTAAGAAGCAGTGTCAACAAGTCAACAAGGGCAGTAAATAGTTTCTGAACATATTTGTCAAAAAGTGTTGGCTTGTGTTTTTTTTACCATACAGTTTAATGGAAACGTATATTTCAACAATTACAATAGATTTCAGTGGACCTCAGAAAAACAGGGGTTGATGCTCATCAGTCTGGAAAGGATTACAAAACAATTTCTAAACATTTGGGACTCCTTCCACCCAGTGTCAGACAGTTGGAAAATATTCAAGACCACAGTGACTCTGCCCAGGACCAGTTATCCTGCCAAGATCAAGTCACAAAGAACCCCAGAGTAACACCTAAGGATCTGCAGGACACTATGTCTGTTGCTAATATCAGTGTTCACACCTAAACCATCTGGAAAACACTGAATAGGAATGATTTTAGTGGGAGAATCGTGGCAGGAAGAAACCATTGCTCTCTGAAAAGAACATTGTAGCTTGCCTTAAGTTTGCCAAAGAGCAACTGGATGTTCCACAGGACTGCTGGAAGAATATTCTTTGCAAGTTTAATTTTTGGACACAAAGATAAATATTTTATACGGTGAAAACCAAACCAAAATCTTTATCTTTTAGGGATGCAAGGAGTCACAGAGCAGCCCAGTGAAGATTTGAGATTAGTTTATTCTGTGAGGAAAACAGCCATTTACAGGGAGCACTAGGAGAAGACACACACAAGGTGCATTTCCCACAGTGTCCCAAATTACAGCAGCGTTTATAGTAGAGTCCAGCTATGGTCACCCTAATTTATTACCATACTGTAAATGATGGTGTATGAGTGACCATTCCACTAATGGCCCAGTGGCTATTCCTGATGATGTTGTCCCTGCCTTTCATCTATTCCTAGGATGTTATGTACAACCACAGGCTGTTTGAAAATTCACTCCAGCCAGGTCAGGAGTAATGACCCCAGTCAAGAGTCACATTTCCACAATCTTAACCCCATTGAAATGCTATTGCAAAACCTGAAGTGAGCTGTTCATGCAAGGAACCCTCAAACTTTACAGACTCTAAATAGTTCTGCGAAGAAGAATTGTCCAAAATTCACAAAAGCTGATACGAGAGATTAATGAACAGTTACAGGAAACATATACTGTAGCTGAAGTAAATTCTGCCCAAGGAGGTGCACCTAGTTACTGGCTCTAGGAATTCACATACTCTATTCAGATAATGCTATTTGATGTTGGATCATTTTGTTCATTATTATTCTTCATTCATTGTTCTGTAATAAACGAGCATTGATTAATCAATTTGGTTCTAATGGATATTGTTTTCAGATAAATTATACAGGAGCAAGTATGAACCCCGCCCGCTCATTTGGGCCTGCTGTTATTACAGGACTGTGGGAAGACCACTGGGTAAGACTTTCCTAAATATATTATTGCGAATCACATGGCCACAGTGTGATCTTGTCTCTGTGTGTAAAGTACAATAGAATTCAGTTTGAAATGTCATGATAAAGCCGATACTAAAATACCAACCTGGTTCCAATATACAGGCACAGCAAAAGGCAGGGAAGCAGACACCACCACGCACACACTCACACCAGGGCCAGCTTTCCCAGAAGCCAGTTAACCCACCAGCACGTCTCTGGACTGTGGGAGGAAACCAGAGCACCTGGTCAAAAACCCACATAAACAAGGGGAGAACATTCAAACCACATGCAGTAAGCACCCCTGGTTCAGAACCCAGCACTGTGAGAAACAATGCTGACCACTGACCACTGCGCCAGCTAGTCAGGCTGTAGTATAGCTCTAATCTGAGTGTGATTGTGGTGTTCCAATAAGCAAAAATGTCAAAGAGCTCTTTTTATGTGACAGATGTTTCATTTTGTCAACTGTAATACTCATGTCTGTAGAAGACACTGTAGTATGGTGGTGTCCATTCCTGGTCCTGAGGGGCTGCAGTCCAGCAGGTATTGTGTGTTTAAGTCAAGGTTTTGTGGAACTGAGCAGTGAAGAGCTGAACTGCAGCTCCTGGACTGGGACTGGAACCCCTGCAGTAGACAATATTTTCTCAGTAAACTAGAAAGCAGTAACTTGTGAAGCTCTTTGAAAATGTGATGCTGAAGAAACCCTCATCCTTGCAGATAAGAAAAAAGAAAAGCTGTTATTATTTCCCTGTTGATCCCTTCCAACACACAGTGGTTTTATCTCTTGAAACTATTTTATCTCAAATACTCCACATCATTCCATATATTGAAATAGCCAAACTCTTTGATTGAGACTTCTCAGAAAAAGTTAAGTGTTTGAAGATGGCTTAACAGTTTTCATCATATACTGTAACGTTTAAACTCAATTAACAATTTCACAATCCACACTGTATCAGTTCAGTTAGATCCTTAAGTGTTAAAATATTGCTTCTGATAATCATCAATTACATATTACAGAACTGGTTGCAGCAAAACTATATAATGGTGTAGAATGATTGCAGCATGCATAGCACAGGCCTACAAAAATAATGGATAACAACTGGGTTTATTTGAAACTTGAAGTTTAATTTAACGTAAGGTTATTTTTAAGCACCTTCCTAGCTAATGAGTTGCTTCAATAAAAAGATATTACTATAAGATGGTGAAGGTATGGTTTTTAAATAGTGGATTGTATCTCCGTAGTACCAGTTTGGCTGTATTTTCAGCAGGAGAATAACATGCTTTCTCTGCTGTAGGTGTACTGGGTCGGCCCAGTCTTGGGTGGCATCATTGCAGGTGCTCTGTACGAGTACCTGTACTGCCCAGACCCGGATATGAAGAAACGCTTGAAAGAGGCCTTCTCTAAGGGCTCTTACTCCTCTGGGAAATACAAGGAGGTAGAAGATTGCAGGAGCCAGGGGGAAATAGAAGACCTGGCGATTAAACCAGGTACCGTCCATGTCATCGATGTGGACAGGGATGAGAAGAAAGACCCCACCAGTGAGGTGCTGTCCTCTGTATGACTAGCAAGGAGCCCTGGAAAAGGAGACAAATCTCTAAAACTCTGTCAGTACTTTGTTTCCACCCTCAAAGAAACAGATCTCTTGTGAAAAGAAAAAAAAACCTTCCCTGCTATGAAAGGTAACACTGGCAAACTGTGGATGCATTGTATTAGCATTCTTAAGAGCCAACCACTGTGGCAGTTCATTTGCAATTAAAGGTTTTTGAATCACCTCCGGGAGGGTGGCAAATTGCTTTGGTCAATGTTCATTTCACTTCAGTCTCATTTCCAATATGATCTCTTAATACGACAATAAAACATTACTTATTTTAGGTTTGTTACGTTTCCATGTGCGAGATACCTGACTTTAACATTAATCTAAGACAATCGTAGCATATAGCCTTGTAGTGGATCTGTAGCTTTGCTTCAGATTTCAGAAACTCAGGGTTTTCTCCTTTCTTAGTGCTTATCTTGGCATAGTTGTTCTGTGTTGTAATGAGATGTTATATGCTGTACAGTCTATCACTAAATATTTCTTGGCTACCTAGTGGCACAATATTAAGCATTTTGCCGAATCTCCAGATGTAAAGTGCTAGGCAGGTACCTGTCAGCTGTAACACTGTTCAAAATGCAGCTCTTGAGATTAGCACTATTCCATGTTTAGTAACCCACTGAAATTGCTAAATGTAATGCAAACTTTTATCAGATGAATGGAATGAGAAAAAACATTCATAAATTATAATGAAGTTAGTGCTGCCTGTCAACATTAATTGAATCTAAGACCTTTTATAGTGCATAAGCACTTGCACTTTTCAAGCTGCTTTTTACAGAAAGTTTGTGATATTTTGTATTTTTTGTGTATTTTTGTGTATCTGTATACTTTACATTTCAGTTTATAAAACACATGCAGACTCCTTTAATGTCATTTCACAAATGTTTTGCTTAACCTTTGGTTAAATGGATTAATTTCCTAATCTTTTAACTGAATAATTCCTAGTACGCAGGACTGAAATGGGTTCCAGTGGTATTTCTTCATGCGTGCCCAAATACTCCTGTTGTAGTTTCAGAACAGCATCAGAATGTTTTTCATTTATTCAGCCAAGTCAACTAATACTAAAGCAATTGTCCCTCAATTTCTACAACCTATGTCTTAAAAAATCAAATATTGCTTTATTAAACAGTAAAATAGTTTAATATTTATCATTTTCAATAACCATAAGATTACAAGATAGAAAGTTAAATATGTATTATTTAAAGAGAAGATTAATTCTATTACAAAAGAGAACAACCCAGTCAAAGTCTAGATGAGACGATTATTCACAGATTTTGTCATCTGGCTCTTTTTACTATCAATAGATCAGCAGACGGTGATGTCACAGTTAATCACTTCAGTTAATCACTCATTTTAGAGAAAAACAATCTTAGACGAATTTTGAAACTCACCCATTTGACCCTCAACCCATAGGGAGACTTAAAAAAAACTGATTTTTTGCATATTTTCTATGGCTCAAAGTGGGGCTTTTAAGATAGTGGAACCTATTAAAACCTGTTAAAGTGTGTATTTTCATTTTGGTATCATTCTTGGTATCTGTGGATTTTTATAAAAAAGTGATGTAAAACAAACATAAATACTTTCAAAATCTGTAGAACAATGATTGTCCATGTGGTCCCAGTGAGGCAGCCTTATTAATCCCTGCAGGAAATAGTATATTTTTCATACAGACCACACAGCTCTTTCAAGTTAATACAATTTATGGAAAAAATAATGAAATTGTTATTTTCTTTATTCTTTTAGGAATTAAAAGAAGTAATATACACTGTATATTGTTCTCTGTCATGTCAGTGTACATATGTATTGTCATCATTTTATGTCTGTTTTATATCCATTTTATCCTGTCATTGGAACTCCATGTATGGCAGTTGTGACACTAATAAACAGTGATAGAACTCGTGTGTTGTTGTACGTTTGCAATGGTTGCAGCTCATGGAAGCAGACAGCGGTCTGAGGTTCGAGTACAGAACCCATGTGCAGGTCGAGACGAGCAGCCTACTGTAGCAAGCTGTGGGAAACAGGCAAACAGAGTCAGAGTCAGGGTCCAAGGACAGAGCAGGCTTGTAGCCAGGCAGCAGAAGGATTTAGCGACAACATAAACACAGTCCAGGGAAGCACCACAAGGACGTAATGGGGCTCACAGCCATGGAATAACAGTACAAAGCACCCAGGGCAAATCCAGGAGATCCAGAGTTTTTAAACAGAGGTTCAGGGAGGAGGTAAGACTTTAGCTTCTCCCGTATACACACTCTTAAATTCTTGCTTTCTGAGTGACCTTTTGCACATTTTTCTCGCACTCAGCATTCGCTCTTCCCAGAGACAGACCTCACTTCCCAATTCTACATCTCTGAATTTTATCCTTTATCATCCCTGCGCCTCCCACAGGCTCAGGGCTAGGCTCCCAGCCCACCATATCTCAGACTTTCCTAGCACAGCCAGATGATACCTCATTTCAGCTTGTTATCTGTAGCTTTGGTATTGCTATGACACACATACAGTGTAAACACCCAGACCTATTCAGCCAAAGCTGGCCAGTCGCTGTTTTCTTCTGTTGAAGGCATTTAAGAGCATTTGAGCAAATTGCAGGGGTAGAGAACTCTGGTCCTGGAGTTTATTTCTCATTTTCATTCCATCTCAGCTTAATAACTTCATTGAACTGACTACTGCAGGTGGATAAAAAGTCACAACAGCTTTGTTTTCCAAGGTTTAATCAGGTGCTAACAGAAATCCCTCTAGACCTTGCAGGAACTCTGTACATTCCTGTAAGAAACATATAAGATAATGCTATTATCTTAATCATTCAAGCGTCCCATCATGTCTTGAAAGTAGACAGTGTGCCATCTTTAACATCATGGATGGTATGAAACATTTTGCCATTTGCACAAAAACCATGCTGTAAAAAAGTGCCTGCTTGCATTCTCTCATTCATGTTTCACTGTTGTTTCAGAAAAGGTTCACTGAGTTGACTTGAATAGGAGAGAAGGCTGTGTGGATTTGCATTGTCCTGCTGTAAAATGAACACTTCAGTACAATCTGTTAGATAAAGGACCTTTGTTTATGTATCACCGATCAGTTAGGTTATTCTCATCCTGCACTGAAGGCGTTGTATTAAAAAACACCTCCACTGCCCTGCCAACCTACTGTTGTACCCTTGAGCAAAGAACTTAAATCATATTTCTCCAGTGAAATATCCTGCTGTATAAATGGGTATCCTTCAGGTTATCATTATAAATGAGTATTTCTTCTCAAATTAAATATCTAGAATAAAAGGCAGTCTGAACAATTCAACAGCCAGCGTAAGGCTAGCCACACTGTCACCACACATTGTCTTCTGTGATGACTGTCATATTTACTGGTGAATACAGAAATCCACCACTCTCTTTGACATAATCTCAGATTAAACAGATGATGTGTCAGTGTCGTCTGTCAGCTGTCAACACCTCTGAATGGCCTCAAAGCATGCATTTCATTTTCACGCACATGGTAAGGTACAAGTGTTCTGCTGATGCACGGGCTGGTTCACCCTGCAACCATTCTGAAGATGGGTGGGTGTGACGGTCCTGGGCTAGTGTGACCCTGCTGTCCAGGACATGTCACATCCCTCACTGCTGATAACAGCCAGGTGATCTGTTTCATTTAAGTAGGGCACAGTTTTTACTCTTGTGTTAATCAAAACCATCTTTTTGAATGGATCCATAGAGAATTTTAATCAATTTATTTTGGAAATTTTAATTCAATGTAAATACCCAATACTGAGCACCAGGCATTTGATGAAATGTCATGATGTGAGCCGAGTATTCTGTTAGATACATACAAATAAGTTCTGGATCCCAAGATTTAATTTAAACAGATTAGTTTTATTGCACGCACACAATAAAACCGAAGTATTGTTTGAAATACCGGTACAAAACTTCCAGTTTATATAGCCCTTTTCAGGCGCTTCTGACATAGCTCGTTACCATGGTAAACGAGTATACTTTATTTAAAGTTGTATTGTACATTATAAATATATTGCACAAATCCCTAGCATATATTGCACAAAAAACAGTTGTAAAAAGGAAAAAAACAGATGTAAGCAGAGTTTTATATTTAGTCCAAAAACAGGTCAATGTTGCCCCTGCCCAGACACACAGTGGTAGAGTCTTATAGCAGAAGGCAAGAATTACATTCTGTAGCACTCCCTGTCGCACAGGGACTGGGACTGTTGTCCCAAGACACAACAGTACTCGATCATCAACATCACTGTATGATCACTAAATAAAATGTAACTATCTTTATACAGTAAATGTAAAAAATGGGTTACTGATATAAAATCTAGAATGTTGCATTTTAATTTTACATCAGTATACTATCTCAGGAGATAAAACTACATGTATTTAGTTTAGGATGTTGGTAGATATACAGTATGTAGCATTTCATTGCAACCTCAACAAGTTTTTAAAAACTGTTGTATCAGATTTAAACACTGCAGAAAGACTTTTAAAGTTTGTGGCTTGAGATGAATTCTGGGAGATTCTAAAATGTTCTCAGAGGCCCTAAGCTTCTCAGACCATCACAATTCAGAATGTGTGCATGTTTTTCTCTGCATTCATTATCCATCATATCTCTGTTTTCTGTTGTGTTCTTTTGTTTTTTGGCATTTTTATGTCAATTTGCACAGTATATTAAATTTCAAGTTTCACATTTATTATCATGAGTAACTGAGTACAATGAAATTACTTGATATCCGCTTGGTGTATATACTTGTTTTTCACTATTCATGGAGAGTTAAGGACCATAACTCCAACAAATAAGGAGCACCGGGTGTATACAAATGAGATATGCACAACATACCCTAAACATTTCAGAAACTGAACTTTTTACTCCCCACCTTTTGCTGTTTTCAAAGTGATATTCTATGTCAAATACTTTGGAATGTGTGGTGAAAAAAAACAGGATCACATTGTTACTGTCACGATTGTAGTCCCTCCTCCTTAAGGGCGCTCCGGCTCTTTCACTTTGGATTTAATTCTGTGCACCTGACCCCTGTTCCCAGCCCACCTTAAAAGCCAGGCGCTGATGTTCATCCGGGCTTTGCATCTGATTTCATATCGTGCGAGTCCGGGACCTGGAAGCGCCTGGTCCTGTTAAGGTTTTAATCTCTGTTCCTGTTCCCTGTCCGCCGGCTCCGCCCCGGTTTATGTTTTTAATTCCTTGTTGGATTGATCACCTGGCTATGGATTTATTCTTGTGTTTCTGGATTGCCTCTGTGGATTACTTTTGGATCTTTGCCTCGGCCACACCTCTCCCGTGCACCATCGCACTTTGGACACGCCCCCCTGTTTTCATCCCCGTATTCCTGCATGATCTTTTTCCTAGTGTTTCCTCATGATTCTGGATTGTGTCGTCCGCATAGGGTCTGGAAAGAACTGTTCGTTACAGTTACGGAAACAAAGAGGTAAAGAAACTTCCTGACTCCACAATCTGCCCCCTCATTTCTTTTGACTTAACAGTGAATGTTATGAGTAACACTGAATATTAGCATGAACTCCATACATGCAAATACATTTATATTATAAATAAATCGGGTGTTATGAAAGACTCTTGCAGTATACATTTTACTTAATTTGGGGGATTATGCATCTATTCTAAAGCTTTCTAAGAGTACTGTAACTGCTGTTAAAAACTGACAAATCAAGTATCTTGAGCCGTTAGGACACAGTTTGGAGGATGTAAAAATCGCTTCAGTAATGTCTTGCTAAGCAGGTTGTGGCCAAGTATGTAAAGACCAAAATCTTCAAGTACAAGCAATATTTTCAGCTGTACAGGAAGCCAGTGAAGAGAGGCCTGCAGAGAGTCAATGTGCTGCTTTGTTTCTGCTTTTGTGCACTAGTCGGGAGGAGATTTACAGTGTATTAATGAAATCTTCCAAACACATTTTCTTTTGTTCTTGAGAGCTATACATACTGATTTCTAATCCCATGCAGTGAAGTGCTTTTTACAAATGTGTGTGTATAACAGACTTCAGTGCTGATATGGAACATAGAGAATAGTTCACAGAAACTTTATAATATTTATAATTTATTTTTTATATTCTATCTTTACAAAAACATGGGAAATACTTGGTTAGATGCATGAATAATTCATTTAATAAATATGATTTTAATACTAAAACTAGTTTCTTGTTCTACTCGAATGAAGTGAAAAGATAATCGAACCAGAAGGGACATTTTTCTATAGCGGTGTTAGAGCAGCAGGATTTTGGCTAGCACTGTAAATTATGTCAAAAGTATTTGTTAAACCAGAAAACCGTTATTGTTGGTACCTGCATGAAAATGTAACATAAAATAAAATCTGGATGGTTCAGGTGTTGACTTCTTATCAATGTTTACAGTACTGTTGGAATTGATGAAGGGATTGTCTTTTGGGAAGTGATATTGTAGACTTAAATTCAGACATTTCAGTAGTTTTTTTTTTTTACTTTCAGAAATCAAAAGTGTATTCCTTTTAAGAATTAGAACTGTTTTTTGGTTTGAATTATCGAAAAGTGAGTTGTCCAAACTGTCTCGCCTTAGCAGTCTGTTTTTTAATGTGAGTTATATACAGGACAATGGCACCACCCACTGGAAATTATTAAATGAAAATGGAAAGCCAAAACCCTTGAATTGTAGAGTTTACACATCAATAAGGTTTTACATTACTTCAGAAAAATGTTAACAGATGAGGACAATTCAGTCCATCTAGCTTGTTTAGTTTCTAGTACCTCATTGATTCAAGGAACTCATCCTTCCTTTTTTCGAAAGAAGCTTTATGAAAGAACCATCAACATTATGGATAATTACTGTAGCTTGCTCCAGAATCCAATAACAAAAAAGGCAGAAGTGTCTCCTTCTTGGCAGTTTTCAATACATATCTCTGCA